AAGAGCCCTTAACAGAATGAAAGTAATTGAGGAAGAAAACAAAATCCTAAAATCAACGGTAAATACACTAGAACGCAACCTTAATGCAACCAATGCTACGATTAACGATTTAGAACAATATGGCCGCAGGGACACCATCGAAATCTCTGGTCTACCTCAAACTGAAAATGAATCTACAAACAATCTGGTGGTCAGAGTAGCGGAGCATATGAGGGTCAACGTAACGACTGATGATGTCAGCGTATCCCACCGACTCCCTAAACCCCGGTCAGGAGCTAACCCTGCCATTATTGTAAAATTTGTACGCCGCAATGCTAGAGATAAGTTTTTTGCTGCCAGGACATGCGGGTACAGCCAATGATCTTGACTTTAGTTCGAATATCCATGTGTTAAATGTATCAAACCATCTAAAAACAATCAGGACTGCCTACTATGTGACATATGTCTTAACTGGTGTCACCTAAAATGCACTCAGCTAACAAGGATAGACTTTATTAGACTCTCAAATGATGAAAGATTTTACTGCAATGCCTGTATTGACAACATAATCCCCTTTCAAAAATTAGATAACGATGATCTCCTTGACCTATATAACGACCACACGTCACTTCTAAAACTTTTTTAGCTACCCTCATTAAATCTTTCCCCTGCTCTTTGTGCTACAAAAGAGGATGAGCATGACCCAGACCAATATTTACTATAAGGAACTAGCTTTTACTATAGCCTTTACACGTGCTCCATTTAGTAATGATTGTATTTGTTGTTTTTTGTTCACGGATTTATAATCAATGTGTGATTGTATATAACTTGTATTTATGCGTCTTATGCACAAATAAATTTCTTGAATCTTGAATCTTGAATCTATATGCTATAAGCAAAGTAAATCACAATATTAAGAAATAATAAAAATTAGCGGACTGCACCACAATGATTACGATCTATTTAAAATATGGGTACCCATACTCAATCATTTCTATATATGCTATCGATATGTAACAACAACAAACACTGTTCACTCATTTACTGTATTAACATGCCTATTAGATGTCATAACAACATGTTCCTAACTAAATGTACTCTGCCGTATATATTCAGCGTCACATTTTCCCCAAAATAACTAATCATCTGTGCTTGCCATTACCGCGTCGCCAACCTTCTATAGTATCCAACTATACAACTGTGCATAACTAGATATCATACGATTATCTACTGTGTCTTCATATATACGGCGTGATTGAACGAATCCGAATATCGTTCAGGTTCACCCTAGTATCTTAGGGTGCTTACACATCGAGCGTATCTATATTATGTTATATGTTATATTATATATCTTATCACACATTATGTGGAGGATTCCCAGCGTATATATGCTGCCACAGAAATCCCACGCAGTGCTTCTCTCGGACCGTGTACGCGACTTGTCTTTACAGAGACATAACTTTAGCCGCGTATGCTAACCTCTTTTCCATGCGTTAAACATGACGCGTGACGTTCGCGTAGGGCCCTCTTCGCCCTTTATCACACGCGTGCCACGACTATCTATCTTAGCCCGTGTAACGCTCTCTATTCTTTATGCACCCTATAACGCGTCTATTGTGGCACAAACCGTCCGCGCTTCACTTACATAAATGTGCAACAGGCAATATCGTCAGTATACTTAGCAGTCAGGCGAGAGTAAACAGCGTTAGCACAGAGAAATCTATTTAGGAAAATGCATCACTTACCACGGCATTATATCTTCCTCTTCTTTCTTCTAGCTTCTTCTCTCGGCTTTCGTGGCTTTCACGGCATCTGTCTGTTTCGGCGTTTTGGCATTGCCTTCTCTGTTCGGCTCGCTCCTCTCTTGACTTTTGTGCGTTGAAACTTCTTTGTGTGCCTCGTGACTCCCGTAAATCGAATTTAGTGGTACCTCGCGTCGGCAGCAACCTTTCTTTCTTCACGCTGACTCACTCAATAGTTATTTTCCCGTAGCCTACCGCTCTCTCTCTCTCTCTCTCTCTCTCCGTCTTTCCTCCGTCTCTCTCTCTCTCTCTCTCTCTCTCTCTCTCTCTCTCTTCCTCCGTCTCTCTTGCTCTCTCGTCCGCTCTCCTTTTCTCTTTCTCCAGTCTTCTTGCCCGTGGTGTACCCACCGACTCTTTCTGTGTCTTCTTCTTTCTCCATCTTCCTTGCGTAGTATCTTCCGTGGCTCCGTGGCTCGTGAATCGTTTGTAGTAGTAGCATCCTGTGTTATGTCCGCAAACCCCGTTCGAACTGTCGACGGCACCAAACATGTAACGACGATGTGACGTTACTCATTGCAAAGTGGATTTGTTGTAGAGATGAAGAAGGAAAACTCCAAAGTCCAAGCAGGTGCGTTTAGCAAATAGCAAATAGCAAAAGCTGTCAAGTTCCTGGCTGAGATTGGTTCCCATTCTAAGAGTGTCTTTGTTGCCCGAGGTGCAATCATTAAACCTACGCCTACGGTGTGAGGTGCATCTCCTTCCTCGTGTCGTCAATACAGCAGGAGGTGACCACTTGGGAGTCGTTTCTCACCGCACTTGCCCCGTGGTTTGATATCGAGGTGTCCTTCTCCAGCCCAAGGGGGCAATTCCGTCATTTCGTCTGGCACCTCGTTTTTGGTGCTTACCGGCTTTGGTGGCCCTACCAGGAGACGAATCTCCCGCCGGCATTGCTCTCAGAGTCGTTAGTACACGCAATCCCTTCCACCATGAGAAGGGCACGGACATTAGAACGGCACAAGGCTCATTGTACACGGGTAAATATACCTCCACTGAGGTTAACCCGCTCAATATATAAGGTTAAACACACCTCATCTATCTCCATCCTGGAAAATGTACAACGATAAAAATGTGCCCACTATTTCCATACTGGATAATGTATAATATGTATAAACATACCTCCACTATCTCCATAACGAGAACTATGCTGTCATCAGTTGTGTAATGTTCGTAGAGTTTTATGATGTTCGAGTGATTGCAGCTCTTCAGTATCTCTATCTCATTGCCGACGATCAATTTCCGTCCTGGTTATAAACAGATATCCGATTAGATTGTGGAGGAGAAAGTACTCGCGTATTGTGTTATACCCCGTACAGACTACGAATTTGATATGGTATTAAACTAGCGCGCGCCAGGCTCGCGCTAAATATTTGCAGTGTGTACACGCTATCCCTACTAAACAGCGTTCCGTACATCCTACTAAACATGAACTCCTAACGTGCTACTCTCTTAACTCTTCTGGGTCTCAGTTCTGCCTATGATACTGTGGACCATGGAATCTTGCTTGAACGTTTAATCACAAAACTTGGTATTAGGGGAAAAATGTTCGACTGGCTTTCATCTTGCTTGTCTGGACGTAGTCAGCGCATCTTGTTTGATGGGGCCCTATCTGACAAATTCGACTGAAATTTTGGAGTCCCTCACAGGATCTGCTTCGGTCCGGTTCTTTTCGTAGTATATGCATCTAAACTCTTCGATATTGTTAAAGCCCACTTACCCGACGTCCACTGTTTTGCTAATAACGACACACAGCTGTATTTCTCTTTTAAGCCTGATAGTGGACCAGATCAAGTATAGAAACTGTGTCGGCTATCGAAAATTGCATCTACGATATAAGGAAATTGATTGTTGAGGACAAACTTAGAATGTGTGTGTGTGTGTGTGTGTGTGTGTGTGTGTGTGTGTGTGTGTGTGTGTGTGTGTGTGTGTGTGTGTGTGTGTGTGTGTGTGTGTGTGTTGTGTGTGTGTGTGTGTGTGTACGCAACAAGCGGGCCGGACCGGGTGCTAAATCGCAATACGCATGCGCATAGCCTTATCTTGGTCACGTAAGTGTACGCTTGATCGATGTCTGCGGGGTGCCGTGGCGAGCTGAACAGAGACGATAAAAGCAGGATCAAATATGCAGTCTGTACACTACCAATTAGCGCGCGTCAGGCCCGGGCTAATTAATTTAGCCCGTGCCTGACCCTGCTATCAAATTCGTAGTCTGTATCGGGTATTAAATGCTGACGAACCGAGACCCACGCGCACGCTCGCAGGCACATAAGCGCACGAACACAAACACACATCACACAGACTCACGCTCGCGCATGTAGTTACCTCCGCCAGGGGCTTGGCGAAGGTTATGTTTTCACCGGCGTGTCTTTGAGTGTCGGTTTGTGTGTTTGTGGGTTTGTGTGTTACCATGCACGTTTCAGTTCACTTCCGCTAGGTGCGCTGGCTGTAGACTTACAGACACGCAACCACAGGCTAAGGGACAACCACAGTCCTCCCCCCACCTGCACGCTCGCACTAATCCGGATCCAATTAATTATTTAATTAATTAATTAATCAATTAATTTTTCCACTTAATTATTTAATTAATTAATGAAAAAATTTACATTGAGAGAATTCAGCTGCTTTGGCGGAGGTCTGTGTTCTCCGAGTGCTCTAGTTGCTTTTAGTTTAGTTGTGCCCTTTCATTGGTGTAAAACATATGTTTCGACATTGACGCATCAATCAGTTTATACCAATACCATTTCTATTATATTTCCTTGTCATAAAATAAAGTAGCAACTAAATTTTGTTTGGTTTTATACCAGTTTTGGTTAAATTTACACTCTCACCTTTTATCTTCTCCTTGTCGATTATCTTTAAGGCAAACTCTTTCCCTGTGGATTTCTCAATCACCTTTCTCACGATTGCGAAGTTTCCTTTTCCAATTTCGTTCCGTATTTCGTAAAACTCATAGAGTTGTTCAATCTTTTCAAGGTGCTGTGGGAGGTTTTTGCGGGTAGGACCAGTGTCCGTCTGTATTGAATCAGTGTCATCCAGGACGAAGTGCAATGGTTCTGTCGTCCCGCGAGACACAGCCGATGGTCGTACTCTTTGTTCATCCTCTATGCACACAGAGGCGGCAGGCGTCAACAGCTTTTTTGAATGATCTTCTCTCAAGTTCTTGGAAGAATTTTCTTGTATGTTATTCTTGCCGCCAATTTCTGGGTTGGAAACTGTATCATTTACGGCTATATCAATAACGGTATTGGTCATAGCTGTATCGGAAACTGTATCGACGACAGCTGCATCCGAATCTTTATCAATCCCGACTGTATCGGAAACTGTATCGACGACAGCTGCATCCGAATTTTTATCAATCCCGTCTGTATCGGAAACTGCATAGACGTCAGCTGTATCGCCGATTTTGTCAGCCACGATTCCATTGGAAACCGTGTCGATCACAGATGTAGCCAAAGTTGTATGGGTCGCAGGTGTATTGGAATTTGTATCGATGACAACTTTATTGCAATTTTGATCAGCCACGACTGTTTCGGAAACTGTTACATTATCAGCTGCTGCAATTAACTTTGAAACAGCACAATCCTTATCGATCTTATTATTTTTATCCGCGACAAAGTCTTTAGAGGTCAATTGACCTGACGGTCTGTCTATCATGTCTTGATGTTCTTGTGGCAACTTTTCTTTTTCTTCGCGCCGCTTCTCTTTGCTCTCGGCAACACCTTTGTCTTCCTGCGCATTAGCATCGCTGTCTTCGTCCTTACTAGCGACGTCTTTATAGCCAATTTTACCTTCTGGCTTACAGTTTTGCCTTTTGTCTACGTTAGACTGCACGGCACCGTCACTGTTTCTGCTTTTCCCAGCTTCGTTCTCTGCTGTGAGTGAAGTCGGTGTGTCATTACGGCTCTTGTGGGCGTCTGTCAAATTGGGCAGCTTCATTGTTGTATCGCAGTCGTCGACATTCTGTCTGCCTTCGCCGTCGGGCAATAAGTCGTAATCCAGGCTACTGTTAGTATCACTGATCGTATTCTGAATATCGTCTGCGGGGTGCTCGTAGGTTTTGTCGCTGTCGTCTCCCACGCTCGCGTCGTCGTGTTTCAGCACACCTCTGTTAACGGCCGGATTCCAGTCCGTGGTTTCCCCCGACGACTTCCTCGATGTAGTGGAGTCGTCGTTAAGGGAGTTGTTCTCCGCCGACTTCTGGCTGTTCGTGTGTTCGCTTTCAGGAGTCACAGCGTTCCGCACAACTTCCCCTTCGTTGATGAAGCGAACGTTCGGCAATTGCTTTCCGGTGTTCATAACGTTTCCGTTTGTCGAGGGAGAATCACTCGTCTTTAGCGTCTCCTCCCACGCAATTCTCGGATCCAATGCAAGTTGAACGGAGTCGAGTTTTTTTGTGTTTTTAGCGATAAGTTTCTCCTTTCCCTTGCCCTTCTCTTTGTGGACTCGCTTATCCTTGTCGGTGCATTTGGGAAGTGCTACTTCGCTGGCGTGCGATCCTCGAACTAATCTCGCCGTCTTTGCTCGCAGGCGAGTATTCGTTCTGACGTCACACGAGAGACGAGGAGTCACATTTGTTGTGTTCGTCGACGCCGTCGCTAGCGGCTGTAACTTCTTACTCAGCGGCAATGTCCGCGCGCCAGTGTTAAACTCTGGAGCCGTGCCGGTGTCCGACGGCTCCTTACGCAGTAAAGCTTTGTTTCCGTTGGCCCGTTTTCGTTGCCATTCGGCCAGGAGACTCTTCAGCGATGGTCTCCTCGGTAGCAGCTCCTCTAGAATGCCGACCATCACGGACGCGTCTACCTGTGCGCTATCACATGCGACGAACAGGTCGTCGGTGCGCAAGAACGCCGCAAACGTTTTCACTGATTTCCCGCGTAAGGTTAGAATTGACGTCACGCGCTTATCACCGAGGGATTCGCGAATGTCATTGATTATTCGATCGATGCCCTCGCGGCTTGCCGGATTCAATAGGATCGATACGGATTTCCTTGGAGCCGGAGAATGCTGGATAACAATAATGTTTTTTGGTCGATTCGAGTAAATAGAATGCGGACCATCGGAACTGCTGCTGGCGATGTTATTGGATTGTTCTAGGGAGCTATTGATGCTAATTGGCTGCAGCTTGCGTGTTGTTGATATCTTGTTTAGACCGAGTCTGCCGCTTACTCCGTTATTTATACGCTTCCCTTTGCCGTTTTGATGGCTACTGTTTGCCATGTAGCCACCATGTTTGATTGTGTTAGCGGGTGCCTCTCGTGCTGCAGCATTCCCTGTTAAAAACAAATACAGATAGATTGTAATATGATGTGATTATTACTGTTCATTAAAAAAAATTCTGTACACGCACACGTGCACACTCGCGCAGCCAGGCCCACACGCACCCACGCACCCACGCACGCACCCACGCACGCACACACGCACTCACGCACGCACGAACGATCGCACACACCAACATATACGCATGGCCGAATGCCCCTTTCGCCGCATTAAGTGAATGTGGGGTCGTATGACCGACCGTCGAAAATATGGCAGAAGACAATCACTTATGCGACTGTAATGCAACTTCTAACGAATGATGATTATATTTAGTTCGATGCTGCTACTGAGTACAATTTACCGCGTATGCCCTACGGTCTTCACCTGCGTGCGGTGTCTCCTCACATTTCAGAGTGAGTTTTTCATATTACTGCGCTGGCGGCATTGACAGTAATCGTGGGTAGGAAATTTGGTCTGCCGCAAATTCAAACTAGAATCTGGTTACGATCCCACCCCTTTTCTCCTTCCATCTTTTCCCACAACTTTGTTTGTATAATAATTAAGTTGTCAGCTTGTTCTAACGCTTATTCTGTGGGCTTAGGTATGTGGGCTTACAATTAGAATATGGTTAATTCGATTAATGGTTGTGAAGTCTAGCGATAGCTCGCAGCGCATTTTAATATAGGGCGCGCTAATGACGTTACATTACACACTTGCTGTTACGCAAGCAATGCCAATAACTATTGTAGTGGTCGGAAAACACGATAACGGTTAAGAAGACTGATTGAAATACCTACTTTAAAATTAATGCCGAAGCTTGTACAACCAGAGTGCTTGAGAGACCATATACATAATAATTTGCTCATATATACCTGCCCATAGGCGTCATCTATCAAATAAAATGGTCACTCACCTACAGCCCTGAGTGTATCGCCAATGCTAGGCCTAACCATTATACAAACGCAGTGTGCCTCGAAATTATCGTGAATAATTAATGACAATGTTAACTTATTTATCTATATAATAAGTTTGCAGGGCGGTTCTGCAGAGAAACATACGTTCACTCCCCGGATACCATTAATACCTTCAGACTCAGACTTTTCATTTTAGTTTCGCCGTGTAAGTTCCCAACCCGACCTAACTTTACCATGACTATTATCGAAGCCTAATGCAAGACGTTCAAACACATGGGCATTGATTTAACATTATTACTCTTTACCCATGGCATCTATATACATCAAGTTATTCAGCCGAATTAGTCCGTACTCGCATAACCAAAAATACATGATACAAGATTGCGTGGCACAGGTTTGCTGTTGATCCTAAGCGCTGTGCGCGGATGAGACGCGCAGTTCCGCGGGATATGCGCACGCGACCGCGGGGATGTTCAAGTATGAAGCGCTGTCCGCAGTGGAGACGTGCGCCAAATTCAAGACCCAGCGCACGTCTCCACAGCGGTCAGCGAATGGTCTGTAGTTTTAGAAGATGACAATGATTATATATTAACGATATTGTAGGAATTGGAGATTATAAAACAGTAACAAAAAGCGCTCAGTTATTCTCCAGATTAGCTGAATCAAAAAGATTATAATTTTATAATTTATGATTATAATATGATCAAAACAAATACAATGGTTATAAAATTCACAAACAAAGAAAGGAAAGAGAAGGAGATATTAATAGGCAACCAAGTAATCAAAAAAAGCACCAACTATTCATACCTAGGGGATTTAATTAATGATATAGGAGATTATAACGATATGATAAGAGTCCGAACTGAAAAATGTAGGTTCATGATGAGGGAAATATTATCATGAGCAGACGAGCATAATTATGGAAATCATACTATAGAAGCAAGAGTAAAATTATACGAATGCACAGTTTTACCTTCCTTCCTAAATAACAGTGAAAGATGGACTAACTTAACTAAGGAAGAAGTAAATATGTTGGAGGATTTCCAAAATGAGTGCCTGCGCAAAATAATAATCACGCAGAAAACCTAGCGAAAGGCATTAAAAGACGATGAAAACTCCAAGGAAAGATACGGATAAATTAGTAAAAATAACATAGTTTCTATACGTAAATCGTGGTAAATACATATAAAAACGCATTATTTTATTGAAAATCCCCATATTTACTTATAAAACATCCAAGAGATGGCGCTGTGGCATGTAAACATTAGCTCCGAACCAGAACATTGTGTGTTTTATTGAATTGTTCAATGAATGACGCACTCGTTCACTTCCGACAGCGAGTGAAAATGCAGAAAATTTTCCTGTTCGATGCGAAATGCATCGACCAGGCATTTCATTATTTACGAAAAGTAAACAAGCTGGGGAAAGGAACCGGTCACGTCGGTGACGCCCCATTTACGCCCCATTTATGCCCTGAAGAAGGTATTTTCAGAATCACCACGTCTGGGAGGTGGTTCTGGCTGAAACAAAAATTTAGAAAAGTTAAAAAGTTAAAAATTGATAAAAATTCTATTCATCAATAGATGGCGGTGCGTACAGATTAACATCACGTACGTGTGAATCCATTCTGTATACCTTGAACGGCGCAGTGGCCTAATCGCTAAAACATCCGTCTCCTACACCGGGATTCCGGGTTCGAGTCTCAGCTGGGGAACTTATTGTCCCTTTTTTCCATTTTTTTCCCTTTACCTACCGCTTTAGTATGTATTATTTTTACTTTTTTACTTTTTTATTTTATTTTTTTATTTTTAATGTCTTTTATCTTTTGATTTCTTATTATTTTTTACTGTTTGGGATGGGATGGGATGGGATGGGATGGCATGCGATGGGATATGGGATGGCATGGGATGGGATGGCATGGGATGGCATGGGATGGCATGTGACGGGATGGGATGGCATGGGTTGGGATGCGGTGGGATGGTATGGGATGGAATAAGATGGGATGGCATGGCATAGGATGGCATGGTATGGCATGACATGGTATGGCATGGCATGGGATGGCATGACATGGGATGGCATGACATGGGATGCGATGCGATGCGATGCGATGAGATGGGATGGGATGGGATAGGATATGGGATGGGATGGGATGGGATATGTGATGCGGTGCGATGGGATGGGATGGATGAATTGATGGATAGATGGATGGATGGATGGATGGATAGATGGATGGATGGATGGATGGATGGATGGATGGATGGATGGGATAGCATGGATAGACTAGGATAGTTTCGTATTTTTTTTGAAATATTTCCTTTGGTAACCAAGCGGTCCACGCACAGTAACAGCCCACTGCGATTTCCCCGGGCAACGCCGGTATGCGCTGCTAGTGGCTTTATATATAGCACTGTTCACGCGTTGGGACACAATCCCAAGCGCATATGTTCTGAAGCATCCAGATAACAAAGGCCACAAATAATTGTACTACAAAGAAATTTATTACATTACTTCTTAGTTAGTTACTGTTAGGGAATGATAAATTCACGTTATATCTCGGGACTTGGTAACACTTCAATAAACAATGCTCTCTGGGCGGCTCCCAGGGAGTGAGGATATTTTATATAAAAAATAAAATTATTGTACGCGAATGACTTATGCGAGCAAATCCTTTCGTTCAATAATCGTCACTTCTTATTTAACGAGTGGCACGAAATGTTACCGTCAAACGGCTGTCTTACTGCCATGCACGGCACGCTCTCGCCCAGGAAACTTTTCTCCTTTTTTTGCTAATTTTTTCCTGAAATGACTGCCGCTGTGAGCATCCAATAACCACCACTTTAGCAATCAAGACTAACACCCGTACCTTGGATGGATACGTTGGTAGTAAAATTATCTAGTATATATATAGTATATCTATATTATTATAATGTATTGTGTATATTAATATTGTGTAATTAATGGGTATATATAACATCTCCAGCAAAGCAGGTGGTCGAATCATGCGCGAACTATGCGGCGCACTATTCGTCTGACGTCCGATTTCATCTACCAAAAGTGGAGAAGATGAGGAGATTCTAACGGATCCGCGCGAGGTTTGCTTTACTAGATGGGCGTGAAATAAACGCA